AAGAAGAAACTATGACTGCCGGGTTGCGAGTTGTGGGGGCGAAAGATATCTTTTAGTGATAGGAAAGAGGAGAGAGCGGTAGCGGAGGAGGTGGCGGAGGAGGTGGCGATGTCGCTCTGACAGCCGTACTCACCTGCGGTACACTGGGGGTTCCGGACGGCACTCGGAGGTAGAAAGAGGGCCGTCGGGGCCGCCGAGCCGCCAACAGCACCCGCCGCCGCGTCGCCTGCGCGCCGCTGCCGCTGCCGCCGCTGACGCTGCCGCCGCCGCCGCCGCCGACACCAGAGGTGCAAGGTGACGACGGCGGTAGCGTCGCGCCGCCGCCGAAACAGCCGCCGCCGCCAGCACTGCCAGCAAGAGGGCTGCCGGCGGCGGCGCTACGGCAAATGCCGCCAGCCCTGCCGGTGGTGGCCACGACGGCCGCGGCCGCGGCGTTGGTTTTGTCGCAAACATCGACGCTGCTGTACGACCGAACCATGGCGGCACGATGGCTGTGGGAATGCAGCAGCATCACTTGCTCCGGAGCCACTTGTACGGCGGGGGTATGGAAGCATGAGTAAAGCTCCAAAGACTCCATTTGCTGTTGCTGACGCTGTAGCAGCGCTGTTCGCAGGGACTCCGTCGCCGTTGTCGCGGCCGCCGGGGCTGCCGCACTCGGCTGTAGCTGCGAGCGGGGCAGCCTTACGGGGGACCCTCCTGGTACGACAGGAGCTGCCGTATCCCTTCTCATGGCGAACTCCAAATCCAAGTCCTGGGAACCGTCCATGTGCAGGTACGGCAGAGATGCTGCCGTACCGTGACCCAGGATTCCCTCTAGGTCCGTCGTCGCGACAGCGGCATCGAGTGGTTCGCCGCCGCCAGCGCCACCGCCGCCAGCGCCCCAGCCGGAGGCGGAGATGGTGGCGGCGGCGGCGTTAATGTTACAGCTGATGCTGGCCCTGACGGCGCCATCACCGTCGCCGCCGCCGCCGCCGCCGCCACTGGTCGCGATCAAGGCCTGCAGCTGTGCCGTACTCAAAAAAGGGGTCGAGGTGGTGGATGACATGTGGTCGCTGGCGGTGGTCGGCGGCGGCGGCGGCTGTTGCTGGGACGATAGCTGCAACTGCAGCAGAAGCGACGCCGTCGAGTCCAGCCCGACCCGGCCAAGGACGGAGGCGCCACTGCCGGAGATAAGGCATGGCTGCGCTGCCGCTGGGTGTACGACAGGTACGACTTGTGCGGCATATTCAGGTGCGGTGGTGGCGGCGAGGATGCATCGGAGGTGTGCGACGGTGGGAGCATCCGCTCGAGATACCAAAAAGGTCTGTCGTAAGTGCCGTACAGGAGGGGATTCCAACCCGATAGAGAGGGTCCGGCGGGGGAGAGTTCGGAGACTCGGTGATCGTTGTCGTACGTACGGCACATACTCCGACCCGTACGTATGAGCAACCCAGAAGTTGTAAAACCGCTATCCTCACTTCCCCCCCAAAAAGGTGTCAAATATTTAAAAACGAGTTACAGCAAAAGAAACACAGTGAGGGGGAAATTGTACGCCCTTAATACATTTATATCATCGTCATGTCGTACTTCTGCCGTACCTCCATAAGCCCCTTTCCCTTGACTGCAATCTCTCCTCTTTCCGTGATGAGGTATTTGGCGGGGTTAGTGATGAGAGCGCGTGACGCGGCCGAGATGTGTACGGCACCCGCCAACCCGTGGCTCTCCATGCGGGAGGCCCTTTGGGGGGGGAGGGGGGGGGTGTTGCGCTGTGTTGGTGCTGGGGGGGAGGGGAAAGGCGACTCGTCGTGCTGGCCCCCGGTGTTTAGGAGGGAGTGTGTATTAGCGTGTGCGTGCGTGTGTTTCGTAAAGTCAAAGGTCACGGGAGTCCAAAGCGGCTTAGGTCGGGTGCGGGTGCGGGTGGGGGTGATTACTAATCGGCCCCGTTTTATCCACCAGCACTAACACTACCACCACCAGCACCACGGCCCCCTCCAACGCAAAAATACGACTCACGTGTTCACTGCCCCGTGTGCGTGTATGTGTGTATGTCACGTACGGAGAGGGGCCGCCGAGGTCGATCCAACCGAATACAGTGCGTGGGGCCAGTGGTACCGACCGACCCACGGGTCACCATGCAGAGGAGGAATCCGTCGTCGTCATTATCACCGCCGCCACAGGACCGACAGTCGTCGTACATTGAGTCGTTACCATTGCAAATCGCACCGAAGGGGAAAGGGAGATGGGAGGGGCCGCATCGGAAAACATCGGGACATCAGGATACCGGACAGGACAGGACAGGCAGCCGCCCACAACCCACACATAAAGACACATATACAGACACACATACAGACAACTATACAGACACACACAGACAGACACACAGACACACACACAGACAGACACACAGACAGACACACAGACAGGCCCTACCCACCAGTATCCCCAAACAGGTGAAACCTCGGCATCTTGCGACCGACCACACCGCCCACCACCGAACCCGTGTGGATTCCAACTCGGATCTGGATCGGGGCACCCATGTTGGTCGTCACTCGCCTGGACCCAACAAGATCCAGATCCAGATTCGGATCCCCGGATGGATCCGGAATGCGTGCATGGGAAAGAGGACGAGGAGCAGGCGACCTTGAGAGAGGCGTACTGGGAACATTTGACAACTCAGAGCTGTCCTTAAAGAACATAAACAAGACAGACATAGACAGAGACCTACTCGGCTTGATAGTCGGGATGAGGTTATACGAAAGGGGGGAGGGTAACGGCGCTAACCCACGGGCCGCTGAACAGCGGGTCGTAGGGGGCCTTATCGTAGCGGGCTAAATATCGTACTGTTATGAGGTGATGGTTGGCAGGATCGCTGAGGACGGATGAGGATGGGGGGGAGCGGGAAATATTAAAAGGA